CAGGAAATGGGCCAATAGAATATCTGTAGCTCAGGGTTGAACTGTGGAGTCTTTGGTGTTCTCTGAGCTTGGTTGTTTGCTTGCAGACATTTCATTACCCAACTAGGTAACATCATCAGTGCAAGTGAATGTGGGGTTTGTTGCCTCTTTATGTATAGTAGCTTGCTCTGCCAGTTTTTTGGGGGGGGCGTGCTTGATGGGGGATGGGGAAACCCAGAGCACCAAGAACTCCGCTCTATTCCACTTCTTTACCCTAACCCTTAAATTACTGTTTTTGCAGCCATTGTTAGCAACTATCTTTTGCAAGATAGTAAGTGTAGAATTGTCTAGTGCAGAAGTCAAAAGCATTGCCTTTTAAAAAAGGAGGTTTGCAGCAGAAGTACCTCAGGTACAGGCAGGTAATAGGATAGCTATAGGAAAGGAGAGGTTTAACTTTTCTATACCAGCTTAGTTGCTTTGAGACTCCTGGGGGAAATGCAGCTCCCGTCTCTAGCAATCTTGATGCTTTTGAGGTTGCTGCAGGGGAGTTCAAGGCTCATCCTCACTTATATACATTTGCACCTGCCTAGATATGTGCTCATGCCTCTAGATGTTCTTATACTGTCCAGCACTGCGTACAACTTTAAGAGCAAAGGCATTGCTGATGTAAGCAATACTTACTTAAATTAATTCCTTGCCTATACGCTGAAGATGCTAAAATAAGCTTTACAACTTTTCATTTTGTTCCCATTGAAAATTAGTGAAGGTCTTGTGGGAATTTTTTTTTAGTGCCTGCACCAGCAGCTGGAAGTGATCCCTGGTTATGAAGAACTGTTGGCTGATATTGTCAACATCTGTGTGGATTACTATGAAAACAAGATGTACTTGACACCCAGCGAGAAGCATATGCTCTTGAAGGTAACATCTTTCAACTGTCCACAAATATCTGTTTTATCCAACTTTCAGTTTTTCCCAATTACTTTGCAATACCTGTTTTCAAGATGCATGCCCTGGTGTTGTCATTTTTCTTGCATCTTTTCTCTTTTTACATTGTACAGATTTAATTTTTAACCTCTCCATGAAAAGACAACTTCTGGATTATTAAAAGAAAGATTTAAAATTATTAAAAGAAAGAAAACATACATTAAAAAACCCCTGCAAGTCTTTCAGAGTCAGCTTGAAAATCTTTCTTTCTTTATATGAGGGGTGGGAAGCCTGTGGGCCATAGAAAGCCCCCACTCCTTTTTTTATGCATTCTACAAAGTGTTGCAGATAATGCTGGCCTAATTCAGCAGCAGAATGCTGCAGTTCAGCAGCACAATTTTCCATATTTTAAAAAAATTGTAAATAACCAAAATAACCCTTCAAAAGAGTTATGTTTTATTTAAAATATACCCAAACCCTCAAAAACAGACCAGATATTCAGCTGTGTCTTGTAAGGTGATATCACTGTGTGAATACCATGACTGTGGCCCTCATCTATTTTTTTTTTTTTTTAAGTGCAGCCAGGGATTTCTAAAAGAGTTGCCTGTTTATGTCTACTAAATACTCCATCTCACACCCATGGTCGTTAAGACAAACTTATGGAAGACAGGTTTGTCAACAGCTATTAGCCTTGAAGACTCAGTGTTACCTCTGGGTGGGGAGCAGCTTCCTCCAAATACTAGTGGCAGGAGATCAATGGTGGGAGAGGCCTATGTCTCCACCATTTGCTTGTAAGCATCCCAGAGGTATCTGGTTGGCTACTGTGAGAAAGAAAGTGTTGGACTAAAATAGGCCTGGCCAGATCTTCCTTCCTTCCTTAGGGTGTTTATTTAGCACTGGGCTCCTCAAAAGACCTCCAGTGCTTTATAGTCAGTGATGAGGGGAAGGATAAAATCTGAAAAATAGTAAGTGCAGCAATGTAATTTAAGTCCTACCCCTTTTGTAGCTGTGTCTCACACATTTACAAAAGGGATGGGTTTGGGATTGCAACTCTGTGCCTGTTTACAGTATAACAATGAAGTGATAACATCAATACATACAATTCATATATGATTCCCCCAACCCAGCTTCAGTTAACCAATGGCAATTCTACAGTTAAAATGGCAGATTCAGAGTTCTTTTCAGTGGTGGGAAGAGGAGAGCCATAGATGTTGACCATAGTCCCACCAGTGGGAAATCTGCCTGTTCTCAAGTTCCACGGAGATCAAGATTTTAGGTAGCTGAGGAGAAAGAAAAATGACCTAGTCTTCCCAAAGACAAGACTAGCATGGGAATGGTGTGGTGCTATTCCCAGAACAGTGGCAAAGCTCCACATAGAAATACCTTTATGTAGGTAAACGTTAGAGCACTTTAATGCAGTTGTACATCACTTATTTGTTTATATATAGGAAGAATCTTCATCACAGAGACCAAATCTGATTAGTAGAGAAAGCATTGCTCAATTATAAATTACAGGCTTGGTATATAGAAAGCACATGATCCAGTATTTGGCATTTCCAATGTACATGGATGATGTATAAGCAAGCCAAGGTAAAATACCTTTCTGTGCTAGTGTCCTGGGAGAACTGCTGCCAGTCTTGAGTGGAAAATATTGAGTCAACTGAACAAATAGTTTGAACCACTTTAAGGGAGCTATCTATAATTGTTCGTACATTTCAGAAGTCAGAAGTATGTTATGGTTAATCACAAAGCAAATGTAGTCTTAAACATTATGTAGGATTAGTTTCTCTTAAGAGTCTTGAAAATAAAATTGTGCATGAAAGATAACTTTTTTCCTCCTTTCAAGCAGTAACTATTAAATGATTGTGACTAACTTTCAGATGGTGCTCATGTTTTTCTTTTAGGTGATGGGTTTTGGTCTGTATCTGATGGATGGAAATGTCAGTAATATTTACAAATTAGATGCCAAGAAGAGAATCAACCTCAGTAAAATTGATAAATTCTTCAAGGTCAGTGTCTGGCTTTGCTCTGGCTCGTGATTATTTCCAGAGGAAGCCAAAGCTATCTGTATTGGTACTGTCTAGGGATAAAGCAAGCACAGAAGAAGTGACATGCTGGAACCAAAGGTGTGGTTGAATCACAAAAATCTGAATATTTTACTGAAAATTAAGCAATTCAGGGGTTTTATTCTGTGTGCCAGACAGTTTAAATTAAATTGCCAGACAATTTAGAGCTACTGTTTTGTTTTCACATGATAGTACAGTACTATTCCTCACACTAGACCATGTGGAACATGGCTGCTTCTCTCTAGTATATATCATTGAGAAGGATTAACCTTCTCAAGACCATCAATTAGTATCTCTTTTTCAACGCGTCCCTCCCATTTAGTGATTCCTGCGAGTTCCAGTGTACTGTGCGGTAAGAGAAGGTATGGTTTTCAAATAGACATAGCACGCAGAAATCTTGCAAAGGTAGTTTTCAGGACTGATGCCCATATAAAATGATAATGAAATTGCAAGCTAAAAAATTGTGCTGACTTGATTCTAATCATCGTAATAACACATATTTCTCGGCTTCACAGTGGAAGTTCACAAAGCTTTTTGCTCATCCAATTTTGTTAGGAATACTTTCCCAGACATTTGGCCCCCTCTGGTGGTTAAATACTCCTTTACTCCATGTATCGCAATCATGCCAAAGGAAGCCTCGTTACCTCATTTAAACCATTTCTTGTTTTTTCTTCCAGCAGCTGCAGGTGGTTCCTTTATTCGGCGATATGCAGATAGAGCTGGCCAGATACATTAAGACCAGTGCTCACTATGAGGAGAACAAATCCAAGTGAGTGCCTGCCATAATGTCTCTTGGCTTTGGTGTGTCTTGGTCAACTCTTCCACTCGTGTGTAAGCTCTCTGCATGACTGCCTGTGAGCCTGTGTCCAAGTGATTGCATGACTGAGCATATGGATGAGTGCTTTTGGTTAGTAGGTATGTCAGAACATGATTTCTTATTTTCTTTTTACTGTACCTTGAAAGACACTGATTCAACCAATTCTGTACAGTTAAGTGTACTTTAGCTCCCTGAAATAAATGGGTGATTGTCCTTTTTCATTGATCCCCAGGCAGTTCTCCCAGTAAGCCCCCCAAAAATGAAATGGAAAGATAAATCATACAGAGTGCTGTTTTTTAATGTTGATTTCAAGTACTGCCATCTTTGGAATTAACTGTTCTTTAGCCTTAATCTCCCTTCCCTGGTATTTCCCAGTTCTTAGACATCCCAACATCTCAGGCTGTGATTCTGAATTGACTGAGTGCCTAAAAGCCCCTATTTCTTCTATTTACCAAAGGATCAATTCAAGATAGAATAACTCCAGAGTTGCTCTGAGGGTGCAATTAAACCAGATGTCTTATTCTGCCGTTGAGGTGACCGTTCAGATCCTTTAGGATCTCTCTCTGCTTGACTGCTCAGAGATACTGCCATCTGATAGCAAATCCAGGGATGCACCCATTGAAGACTTTTCTGTCTTACAACTGACCGACACTTTTTAAGCTCAGTGAGCTCTGGCTACCATTCAAAATTCCTGCATTTCTAGAGTTTTCCCTTAGGCCAGGCAGATTTTGTTCCTGACTTCTTCAACATTCCTACCTATTCCTTGCTATTTCCCTCTTAATTTCAGCTTAAAACCTCATCCAAACCTTCTGCTAGTGAGAGATGCTCTGTCATTAGAGGCTCTGTTTACTCCAAGCAGGATGTAGATTATTTCCCTCAAACTGAATGCTTTCTGAACCAGTCAGGCTTGGCTGAATACCTCTAAATAGCAAATTGTTCATAACTTAGAGCCATTAAGATGTGTCTTTGGGGATATAGGGAGATGACTGCTAGAACTGAGCGCAGATCAGTAATTTGCATTGAGAGGTTATGTGTATGCATGGTGGCCAATATGTGAATGCCTGTGTGTACAAGGAAGTATGTCTGACTGATAGGTCTTCATGAGGATGGAAATGAATGAGTGGTTGGATCCGTGCAAATATGTACATGTAAAGTACGCTTACATGACAGAAAAATGGATACGGGTGTTACTATATAGGAGTGATAATATACATTGGGAATATATTTGCATATATTAAATTCAGTGTCTGTACTTGTATGTTGGCTGTTATGTGTTACGTTTTCATGCTTGGCAGCTGTGAATGTAGGTATGAATGCTCGTGCTGTGAACATGAATGTGACTGAGTGTGCCTGCTCTGGGTAGTTTTTATCCACATTTTTCAACTGGATAGAAAATCCTCCAGAGCATGAACACAGCACTCTATCTGTCCAGAAGGATTCTCCAATAGGGTTTTTAGGCAGGACAGCAAAAGATATGTAGGATAAACTCCAGTTATTTCAAACTAGAATTGTTTTCAATGGAATTGTTCATAGGGACTAATACGGATCTTGGGGAACCTTTTCAGTGGTAGCTGAGAGAGGATCCTTGTCAATGGAGACACAGTTAAGGATTAAATTATGGCCACCTTTCTTGATGTGGAATCCTAGGAACCAGAGTTGCCCAACGGTATTTCAGGCAGCCACCCCTGTAGCTATTTCTAGGCATGAAGGGTAAGTGTTGCAGTTCTATTGCAAGACCCATTCCAAGGTGGCTCAACTATGCCAAGGTCACAGCTTGATGAAGGCATTGCTCCACGCCTCTCAGGTAGCACCTTCAGTTTCCATTTCACTGTACAACTTGGTGGTTTTATTTGGTGATACTTGCGAATTGCCCAGATGCAAACCAAGTAAATGGCTGGTGCTGCTCAGATTTAGATCAGAAGGCCAGCAGTTGCAGAATTATTGCTAATAAACAGTCACTGTTGCAAAAAAGAAATAAGGTTATAACTGAACTTGACTCATAGGGTTCATGGTGTCCCTTGGGTGCATATTTATTTCATTTTTTGGTAACTGACTAATGGCTTCTATGCTAACATAAATGTATAATACGTTTCTCACTAATCGTTCTAACCTTTACTTTCTACTGCCAAAATATGTTGGATTTTAAACTCGTCTCAGTCCATGGAAGCTAGAACAACCCTCCATTGACAGAAACTATTTAACGAAGTGTGTGTTTAATCCCATTTCTAATCTATCCTATTCCATTCCAGTAAACAAACTGTGAACTATTTCTTCCTGTCATCTTTACTTACTAACAGTTATTTTCTTATTCAGTTTCTAAACAGAACAGTATCGCATCCTGTGCCTCTCTCTCCTTCCTTGGAGAAGAGATTTTGAACGCTAGCTTGGCTGCACAACAATTGTGGGGTTTTTTATGTTCCTGCACATTCATCCCCTTCTTTTCCTTTTCGTCTCCCTAATTCATTTCCATCCTTGTGGTGAGATGCAATTAACTATGTTTTTTTCTTGTATGGCCTTTTAACTTTGTGTAATGGAGTAGATTGTATGTGGCAGGCTGGGCTAGCACAGCAAAATGTCTGATCATCACTGATAACCTGTCGATTCCTTTGGGGAAAGCAGTACACTGAAAGGGTAAGAGTGAAGTATTGGATTTCTGGACATCTGGAGATATAATAGGACCTAATCATCATGGTCAACATAATTAAGAGAATTGTGTCTACTTCAATATTACCAAGGAAATCTAGTCCCAGAAATGAGATTTTAAAATATCCTACTCCTTCACATACAATATAAGCAGCAGATTTTGAATAGCAAAGTCGGCACTTCAGAATGACATTTACCTAGAAAACAAGTTTATTTGCTACATTTGAGAATAATTCATAGTCATGTAAAAAAAGGAGGAGTGAATGGCTTTGTTCAAACATCATGGAAAACCATGTTAAATATATGTAATTATTGATGTCATCTTATGCTTATATTGAGAAACTATGAATATGTAGCTAAGTACTCAACCAGAATTAGAAATTCTCATTTGGAGGGTTTATCAACCACTTGTTAGTTTGTTACTCACTATGATTTTGTGTGTTATTTGAATAGATGAATCGTAGCTATAGACCTTGCTCTGAGACCCAGGAAAAGAAAACTATGGTTTGCTATTATTATTATGGTTGCCAGATGGATCAAATCATTTTTGTCCCTGCAATTATTTCCCAGTTCAGTTTTTAACATTTTTGCTGTTGTTGTTCTGTATTGGCATAGGCCTAGAGTGTTACAAATGTAGGCTAAATAGACCCTGAGTTTTTGATTCTAGACATTTTTATATACTAGTTCCTAAAGACCAGTCCTTGAGTTCTATCATGCACTTACTGAGCAAATAATTCAGTTTTCTGTCTATGGATTTGCTACTTTTACCACAAATGCAAAATAAATACATCATAGGTGTAGGATAAATTATGAAATTAAAAAAACACACATGGATATCCTGAGTGAGTAACATGTCTACTCCAACAACTGTAGTTTTCAGATGTCAGTAACTGGGTGATGCATCGTATTAAAAGACATTGGGCAAAATGAGATATTAGTAGACCAGTGGAGCAAAGTTATCTTGAGTAATAACCATAGATTCAGGAATGAGTGTTAACTTAAAGACATTGGTTTTCCGCCCAGGTGGACATGCACTCAGAGCAGCATCAGTCCACAGTATAACATATGCGAGCAGATGGTACAGATCCGAGACGATCATATCCGGTTTATCTCTGAACTTGCTCGCTACAGCAACAGTGAGGTAAGCTTCCATGGAGGCGTATGCTGCCCAATGCATGTATGAAAGAAGAAATGTTGAGTGTGCTCTGTGGACAAGTCATGATTACTCTGATTCTGTGTTCCATCTGATTATGGCATTGGAATGCTCATAGCCTGCCTCTTCGAGATTCAGATGATGAATGTCCAATTCTGTCTATTCTGACCAACAGCAGCTATCCAGAGACTCAGGAAAGAGGGTTCTTTACTAGTCCTGCTGGATTCTTTTAGCTGACTGAAACTGAGACTTTCCTCATTCAAAACTATGAAGCTCTCTCTGTTCTTCCATATCATGGATATCTTGCAGTTCTTCTTATTCAACTCTTAATTGCTGTTTTGCATAGCAAGGTGCATAATGCAAGGTCTCATGGCCACGTGCAGCCCTGGAATGCCCAGAGTGCTACCTCTAAACTTTTTCAAAGGTTGCCTTTAAATTGTGATTTTTTAAAATGAGATGGTAGGGAAAAATTATTGTCATTGAAAGTAATCCTTGTAACTCTGTTTAATGGATTTCATTTCAACTAAACTTAAATATTGGTTAGACCAAATCAATTTTAGTCTTTGTCCAAGCTCCATCTACTTATTTGGATTGTGGATCCAGTATACCACTGAAGAATAAGTATGACCCTCCTTCTGAAAACAATTAAGCACCCTTAGTTCATAGGCCTCCCAAACTCCAAATTGTGTCATGCTTTTAGTGCTTTCAGATGACTCACAACACTGTTTCAGCCTACTACCTGTATAGATTACAGCCTTTACCACTCTGAAGTTAAAAAACATTCACAATTAGTCAGTGGGCAGACGATCTCCTGCAAGATAGAGGGCACTATACTATATAATTGCATATATGAAGCCAAAGGAGATTTTTATCCTTGAATTACTCTTTCATATGAGCTAGATATTCACTATTGGTCACAGTGTCTCCAAAAGAATTCAGTGAAAGTTGCAATTGTAAAGAAATTCTGGCTTCTGTACTTCTGCATCTTTCTCTGTTTGAAGATCTTCTTTGCTGTATTTGAACATGCAAGAAAGTGGATCAGATTAGATAATTTAGATAGTTGAGTGCTACCTTTGAAATACATTGTTTGGGATACATTGGTGAAGGACTGGAACACGAAATTAAGTTAGACGGGTCATGTCATTTTGATGGCAGCCATCAGTGTATCGCATCTCAGCAACTTCCCAGCAACTCTTGAGTTCTCTCCCTGGTTCCCTGTCCTTCAATGGACTCTTGTTGATTAATGTTTACAGTTTCCTGCTCAGTTAATGGAAATAGTAGCATTTGCTACATTAAGCAACTGCACAAAAGGATCCCTAAGAGAGACAGTTGTATGGCCCTTTTCCAGGTTGTAACTGGCTCAGGACTGGACAGCCAGAAGTCAGATGAAGAATACAGGGAACTTTTTGACCTGGCTTTACGGGGACTTCAACTTTTGTCCAAGTGGAGTGCACATGTGATGGAAGTGGTAAGTATTTTTTTTTTCTGATTTCAAGTATTTACATGCTGCTTTTTAAGGCAAACCTGCCTTCAGCATAAGCCATAGTCTTGAATATGTTTTAATTTACTTTCCATCTAAAGCTGGCAAAAATCAAAGTGCTATTTAGAGATGTGCATCCTTGAGTACTGTTTATGAAACCTAGCTTAAAGAAAACAGATTCTACATATACTGGAGAAATTATGTTATAGGCCAAATTTAGTTTTCTCAAGAAATCAGTATGCTGGCAACTGGATTTTTCTGTTTTTCTTTTCTCCTTTAAGTATTCTTGGAAGCTGGTCCATCCCACTGATAAGTTCTGTAACAAAGATTGCCCAGGCACTGCTGAAGAGTATGAGAGAGCTACAAGATACAATTATACCAGTGAGGAAAAGTTTGCTTTTGTGGAGGTAGGTGGCTAAATCATTTATTTTTGCCCAGAGTAGATAAATCATATTGAATGGGTGACTGAAACAACATTGTGTTGAAATGAAATATTGGAGGATCCAGACATTGCTGTCTTACATTTACAACTGCCCTGTTTTCTCCATTTGTTCTTGTATTGTTTTTCTTAGCAGAGAAAATCCACTAGAATCCAGGGCTTCCAGGATAGCACTGGAAGAGCTCCATCTGGATGCACTTTTACTCTCAGTCCTGGGATTGCATGTGAGTGGGCACGGTGTAGTTGAAAGAGGTGTATTGACTGTTTTTATACTATTCAGGTTATTGCTATGATCAAGGGCCTGCAAGTACTCATGGGCCGCATGGAGAGCGTCTTCAACCAGGCTATCAGGAACACGATCTACGCTGCTCTACAGGACTTTGCTCAGGTGACCCTGAGAGAGCCGCTGAGGCAAGCGGTCAGGAAGAAGAAAAATGTCCTCATCAGGTGAATCAGATCTTCTCAAAGCAAAACCTCATCATGTACCCTAGGGGGTAGAAGATTTTTTTAAATGAATGTGTAGTCTCCCTGTCCACCAGTGTTTTGCTCCTAAGGCAGCTAAGAACAGCAGAACAGAACACAGAACTTTTTATCATCTGCTTCTGAAGCTACCATGTTTCAAAAGTATCTTGCCCCATGTGCTCCGGAATGCTGCTGAGTATGTAGAATCATGATCCTGAGGAAGGTTGTATAGTTACAGTAACTTAATCTCACTCAGTGTCACTTCCTAGAAGTTTTGTAAATGCACTGACTTAATATTTTTTTCTGTATACCTGCTCCCAGGATTATAGCTCAGTTATTGACTACCTGCATTGCTTACAGAAAATGCCAGGCTGAATCCCTGGTGTTGCCAATAAAAAAGACAGAAAGGTTGGAAACTACTCAGGCTGCAATTGTAGAAAACTGGAGGAAGAATAAACAGTGCTAGGCTAGATGGAGCAATAGTGGCCTGCAAGGCATGGCATTTTCCAATATTCACTGTCGCCAAGAATCTGTATTTAGAAAATCAGCATTCCAGATGGCATCTACATATGCTGGACCTTTGGCCAGTAATTGCTCTCAGAGAGAAGGTATTGTGCCAGATAGAACATGGATTGCAGTCATGTCTCTCATAGCCAAAAAGTCCCTTGCTGTTGTGGGACACTGGCAGGATTAAGAATTAGGCTACAGAGCATTAGCTGTCTCTGTACATGGAGACTTTGTATTTCCTCTTGCTTTTCCAAAACATTCTGGGGCGCTTCGCATAAAGTTTCCAAAGGAAGGACACTCTCCTCTCTTTAGCTGTTCCAGTTCAATTGTGTATGCTATATCTCAGTGTTCTTGAAGATCTCTCTTCAAGAGAGCAGTTTGACATTTACTTTTCTCTAGCTTCTGTCAGCTGGCATTTAATAAACTATCAGAACATTTTGTTCCTCCATAAAGCCTCACGCAGGATTTATATAGTTAAGTTTGCACTTAATATTTAAATTAGCTATTTAGGCTTAAGTGTAAAGACAGCAACTCAGCTCAATGATAGAGTGGTGATCTGAGTCAAATTTCTTCATCTTCCCAGTGTTCTTCAGGCAATTAGAAAGACAATCTGTGATTGGGAGGGAGGACGTGAGCCTCCAAATGATCCCTGTCTGAGAGGGGAGAAAGATCCCAAAGGTGGCTTTGATATCAAAGTCCCACGGCGAGCTGTTGGGCCTTCAAGCACACAGGTATGTGTTCCTTCATTAAGAAGATGCAGGTTAATTTATCAACCAAATGTTTAGAACAGTTTTTTATTATACTGTTCAGGTTCACACCAATAAAGTAAGTAAAGTCTCCTCCAAGAAGTTCAACTCCCAGTGACTTCCTGGCAGCAGTACAGAAGTGGTTTGTAATTGCTTTTTTCTGGGATTTTTTTTATTCCAGTCTAGCCTACAGCCTTGGTATTCTTTGAAGGTCCCCCATTCAAGCACTAATAAGGCCTGACCCTGCTTAGCTTCCAAGCACAGACAAGGTCAAAGAGGCATTGCCACCTTCTGAGATATTTCACACTAGTTTTTACTATAGTATTTGCATGAGTAGGACACTGCAGTTTCAAGCATTATTTGTCGTGCTGTATGTTGTGGCTTTCAGTTCAGTCCTGATCACATTGGCCATGATGCAAATAGTCTTGTGTGCACTATTCTATTATTTATCCATGCTTACCTATCAGGGGCTTCCTATCTCCTTAAAAGAGATTGTTGTAATTGTAGTAGTAGCAGGCCTTCTCTCCCTGGTCTTACTTGTTGGGCAGATTGCTCCAAAATCAATCTGCCTGTCCAATGAGATCAAAGAGAGAAGTCCTCCTGAAATTCCCATCTCCAAGTGAGTTCCATCTTCACTGATCCTTTGAGCAGGCCTTCTCAATGGTACACCCTCACCTGTGGAATATCTTATATGGACTGATAACCACCTCTCTGCTCAGTTTCCACTGAATGTGAATATATAATAGGATAATAAGATAAGGTCTCAGCATTGGTCAGCTCTCATAATACTACACACATCTTAGGAGTTTTGGTAATGTGGTTAACCCCCTTCACCCGTCAGAGCTAATGCACTGAAAATTCAATCAGTAGTACTAAAGTATTGCATGCAGGACATAGATGCTCAATATGCCTCAGGATTTTTGTCCTTTCCACAGCAGGATCTGTGTGGACGCATTAAAACAGCCACATCTTTTTTTAAGGCTCCCAAAGAAGTGCGAGAGAAGATGTACAGCAGCTGATTTAAAGAGACGCTATGCTGCCACACATTCTGAAGTACCCCTTCATAATCACTTGCAAAGCAGGCACAGTCTGATAAATTGACCTCCCTCATCTTTTACCTTGTATGCAGGGAAGGTGTTAAATGTTTTTGAAAAGGTTTTTGTTTATAGGCATTTTATATAAGATAGAGTACAATTTAATTTCCAGTAGTAATGTATGGCTGTGAGAGCTGGACCATAAAGAAGGCTGAGCGCCGAAGAATTGATGCCTTTGAACTGTGGTGCTGGAGAAGACTCTTGAGAGTCCCCTGGACTGCTAGGAGGTCAAACCAGTCAATCTTAAAGGAAATCAACCCTGATTGCTCATTGGAAGGATCGATAATGAAGCTCAAGCTCAGATACTTTGGTCACCTAATGCGAAGAGAGATCTCTTTGGAGAAGACCCTGATGCTGGGAAAGATTGAAGGCAAAAGGAGAAGAGGACGGCAGAGGATGAGATGGTTAGATAGCATCACTGAAGCAATGAGCATGAAACTGAGCAAACTCAGGGAGGCAGTGAAGGACAGGAAGGTCTGGCACAATATGGTTCATGGGGTCACGAAGAGTCGGACACGACTTAACGACTAAACAACAACAACAATTTAATTCATTCTTGAGCTGCAGCAGAGCCATGAACTATGTATTATTATACAAGTAATATTTATGCATTATTATTATTTATAAAAGGACTAATAGCAATCATCAACATGTCTTTTCAGCTTTATATGGTGAGAACCATGCTAGAATCCCTCATTGCAGACAAGAGTGGTTCAAAGAAGACTCTCAGGAGCAGTCTGGATGGACCAATAGTTCTGGCTATTGAAGAATTCCATAAACAGTCCTTCTTCTTTACACATCTTCTTAATATAAGTGGTAAGTAGCAAACTCAAGTCTGAAATAAGTACACATTGACATAATTAGCATGTCGAGACTAGCCAGACATCTGTTCAGTTCACTGTAATTTATATTAAAGTACTATTAGAACTGGGTGTGAACTTTTTAAGAAATGGTAGCCTAGATTGTTTAGATTGTTTAATAATTTATGGTCATATTGTTGTAAGAAAAGGACAGTTTGGTTTTGTATATTCAATTTTATCAATTCAAATATGCTGTTATATTTTCTCTATATAATGTTTTGTAATTTATGTTAATAAAACAATATGGAATTGCTGTATTGACATACTGTGCAATAGATTTCTTTATGCTATATGCATTAAACCTTTCTTGCACTTTATATTGGGGAAATATTGTGTGTTTTCAGAAGCCCTCCAACAGTGCTGTGATCTGTCCCAACTTTGGTTCCGAGAATTTTTTCTGGAGTTGACCATGGGTCGTCGAATCCAGTTCCCCATTGAGATGTCTATGCCCTGGATTCTAACCGATCACATCCTGGATACCAAAGAACCCTCCATGATGGAGTAAGAGCTCCAGTAGGACATGAAATGTATCTGTGGATATCTTTGTGATAATACTTGAAGGAATTTGTTTTGATTTAAATTCAGCTTTCTGCTTCGTGACAGGGAGCAGTAATTACTCTCCACGATCAGATTCTGCTCTGTATCTGCCAACCTCTTTTGCAAGATAACTTACTTTCATTTACTGCATATGGTCTAGTGGTATCCTCACAAAGAGGAGTGAAGGGCTGAAGATGTTCTTAAATGGCAAGTTGTTTCACACAGTGTCAAGGAATTCTGAAGTGATTTGTATAACATCTTTATTTTTTCCTTTGGATTTTTAAGGATATAAGAAAAAAGCGATGATAGGAAATAATTTATGAAGTGGATAGTAGATGGGCACTTGCTTGATAGGTGCTGATAGAAATGTTGCAAATGAATGAATTCATGAAAGTTCATGGCAGTGTGGGATTGGTGAGATTCTGTTGTAAGCAGTCCTATGAAATCCAGTTTTATACATGAAGAAATTGTGTATAGAGCCAGAGAGATACTGTACTGCATTTCTAACTATGAGCAAATATTGATTCTTAATGCACAAAATTAAGAAAGCTTGCTTTAATATTGTATCAATTTTTATGCACGCTTTCCTGAAACACGTTATTTTTAATTAAGTTGTATTTTAGTATTTCTACAATAGCTAAGACAGATGTTTACACAAAGACGTCTGTGCTGGAACATAATGAACCTATTTCATTAATTACAGGTATGTGCTCTATCCACTGGATCTCTACAACGATAGCGCATACTATGCTTTGACCAAGTTTAAAAAGCAGTTTCTCTATGATGAAATTGAAGCAGAAGTGAGTTCTCTCTGCGTTACTTTTTTGTTAATAATCAATATTAAGGATTTTATTTATTTTATTTTATTTATACATCACTTCAACTTTTATGCGTGCTATTCTAAAGCCCATTTATTTATTCTTTTTCTACCAGGTGAACTTGTGTTTTGATCAGTTTGTGTATAAACTGGCAGATCAAATCTTTGCTTACTATAAAGCAATGGCCGGCAGGTATGAGAGCTCTGTTTGGTTTTGGGAGTGTTCCATCAGCTATTGTATACTTTTATATGGACAAACTAGTTCCTGAGCTGAAGAATATATGGTTTGTGCATGTAATGAAAACACAAGAGGTAGATATTACTGGAAAATGATGGAAGAAGATTGTTCAAACTCAAACATGACAATAGTTATTCACGGCAAACCTGTGCATAGTATTGCTTATTACTGAATGATCAATACTTTTTCATCAATTGAAAATCATCTGGTTGAATAATATCACCTAAACTCTGTTTCGCATCAGGGAAATCAATCTCCTTTACTATCAAAATGGTAGCTGCTGCTTCCAGAATATTTTATCTTTCCATGGATGGTTCACGTAATTAATATGGCAATTCACATTGTCTTGATGAATTACTGGTTTTGATTTCTGCTAACCAACAGATACCTTCCCAAGATAGCTTAACAAGTTATCTTAGACATTAGAAACAGTTTTTCCACAACCAGAAATTCAAGTTTACAGATTTTGATTATGATGATAATAGTAATAATATTTCTGACTGTCCAGCTTCTCATATTAACACTGTATGAAGAACATGTAGAAAAAAATATAAGATATGGGGTCTTGTAACCTTATTCTGAAAACTTGTGAAGAGAAAGCAAGAGTAGCTTCCGTGTCAATTTCTAACTTAAGCCTTCTCTCTCTTATTTTTTTCTTCATTAACCCCTAATGCAAGCACTAGATCCTATTATATAGCTCTTCTTTTCACTGAAGTCTTGATAATAAATGAATTGTGCTAGTGAGGAGGCAATCAAGTAAAGATTCTTATGAGTATTTTTCATTTGCAGTGTTTTATTGGATAAACGCTTCCGGGCTGAATGTAAAAATTATGGAGTGATTATCCCTTATCCACCGTCCAACCGCTATGAAACATTGCTCAAACAAAGACATGTCCAGGTACAGCTTCATTTTAGCAAATTCTTTGGTCTTTTTTATGGACCGTTCTTTAAGACAAATTCAGAGATTTGTTTTCCATGCCAGGGTCTGGGGGAATTAGTATGCATGGCATACTCCTCCATGGCTTAAAATGCTTGTTTGTAAGGATCATATCTCAGATAACCGTACTAGCAAAAGGTACATGTGTAGTGGCTTCACCTGTGCTCCTGTATATGGCAGAAGGCATCATAGATATGACATATTTTTGGAACATACAAAAAAGTGCTCTCAATATGGTCTGTAACCCTAATGAAATCACAAAGTTTGGATGTTTCTTTGTACAGTAGTTCTTATATTCTCTTCTAATTTGTTTATGGTATGATTTTAACTATGGAAGTTGTCTGTCTGTCTTCTTCTCTTTCTTTTTCTTGTTCACACACTTGAATGCCCCAGTCAGCAGTTCCATTGAGGTTCCTCTGCTCTCAGCCATTTTTCACTACAATAGAGCAAGTTGATTTTTTTACTCTGCAAACAGGGATCGCTCTCTTCCATTGAATGAGCAAAAATCCAGATTGCCTTTTTGGTAACAATAAGCCAGCATCCATTCCTGGAACCCAAATTATTTCTTTCTGTACTTTATTATGTATATATTTGTTAGGTTGATAGCCCACTTTTTGTTCAGAAGCTCCAAGAGGCTTACTCCCTCCCATTTTTTCCTGTGAGGTAGGTTTTGCTGAGAGAAAATAACTGGTCTAAAGGCACCCAGGGAGCTTCCATGTTGGAGGGTGGATTTGACCCTGGGTCTCCCTGTATGAGAGATGGTGGAAAGGTTGGGGAGGGAAGGGAAGAGATGATGGCCAAGTCAGTTGGCAGTTTATCTTATAAAGAACAACTCAGCCCAGGTGTGAAGAAATCTGGGAAAAAAGCATTTCAAAGTATTCAAAGAGACTTTGCCATAATTAACTCACTGTAAATGAGGGTGGGAAATTCCTGATACATTTTTCAAGATTCTGTATTTACCCCAGGTGAACATTAAAGATACCTTACTGGAAGCTGTGTAGCTCTTGCTTCATTGGTCTTGCTCATCTGCATGGGGTTTGACACCCCTGGTGCCAGTCCAAAACTTTAACCACTATACCATTCTGGCTCGGTACTTGAATTTGGCCTTATTTTTTAATAATCAATTTCTTTGCTTTACCTGTTTGTGTCTTCTGCAGCTGCTGGGCAGGTCAATTGACTTGAACAGACTTATCACCCAGCGTATCTCAGCTGCGATGTACAAATCATTAGATCAGGCTATTAGTCGCTTTGAAAGTGAGGATCTGACATCCATAGTGGTAAGTATTGCACTAAAACAAGGAACAGCATCAAGAGAAATACTTAGAACTACACAATACTGCATCTCTAGTACAATTGTAACCATCAATACATTCTGTTCTTTTCTATCAAACTCTATTAAAGTGTGTTACTACCAATATGATAATAAAATAAAAAATGCATCTGCAGTATGTATGTTTACAGTAAGTTCTATTATGGTCACAAGTATGTTGAGGTGATGTCAATCCTGCATACAACTTTTGGCAACTGCCCGCATTTAATGATTTTATTTCCAGACAAGGAAGAATTATCAATATTACCTTGTAATTATCAAGCATTTTGACACTTATTAAAAATATGTGCAAGATTCGGGTTCCCAGAAATTGGCAGGATGTTGGGTTGGGAAAGAAGCAAAAATTGGGCTTGATGATTCAACCCTGTATTCTGTTCCTCAAATGCAGTTTATAGGTGGAATGCATTTGTTCGTGTTTGGTTTAATTTAATAATATGGGACAAATAAATGTTGATATATAAGGAATTTCAGTTTTGATCCTGACAAAGCAGTTTTTTTGTTTTTGTTTTTGGGTTTTTTTGGTGCAGGAACTTGAATGGCTTTTGGAGATCAATCGTTTGACACATAGACTCTTGTGCAACCACATGACCTTGGACAGTTTTGATGCCATGTTCCGCGAGGCCAATCATAATGTTTCAGCTCCTTATGGGCGCATCACACTGCATGTCTTCTGGGAGCTAAACTTTGACTTTCTACCTAATTACTGCTACAATGGGTCTACTAACAGGTACAAATAAAATGTCAAAAATCTCCCTCTCTGAAGGCTAGATATAAATCACTAAGCTGCTAGGTGTAAATAACTGCATTATTTTTGCAGCCCTGTGTTCCTTGATCTTCCTAAATGCTAGAATATATTTCTTAACAGAAGGAGTGGTTTGACAGTGAAACTAATTGCCCAGAGAGACAGTGGCCTTCACTGGATGTCTTCAAACAGAGGTTACACAGTCATCTGTCTGGGATGATTTAATTTTTAATTACTGCATTTTTTAATTTGTTTACTTAAATTAAATTTTAATTTAATTACTGCAATTTTTAAATACTGCAATAGATGCTTTTGGGTTCAGTGGCCTAAATGGCTCCTTTCTATTCTGTGGTCCAAATCAGGTTGCATTATATAATGAATTCCATGTAACTGATTACTACAGATGCAAAAGTGTTAGACATATTACTTGAATCAGTCAGGATCAGAAGGTAAGTAGTGTTAATCGGAAAGTAGTGGCTAATCGAAACATAGCTATTTTGTGGCACAGGTGGCATAGGAAGACCAATATAGCCCTCCTCCTCCAGTTTCAGCTATGAAACAGTATTTGTCTTTTTCGCAAGCATTTATAAGAATAAAATCTGAAAATGCTAACATATTATATTATTGTTAGGAATCTTGTTTTTAGTAAGTAAAATAAAAGGTTTCAAGGTCCACAATATTTAGCAGGTGGAAACAATTTTGCAAACTATTTCCACTGAAAATGTTAATAAAGTAACCACTTTTTAAAAGAAAAAATTAGTCAATTCAGCAACAGGAATGAGGTTTTGCATGTAAAACATGGCATAGCTGATTCAAAATGAGTGTGGCAAATCCATATTCTCCATCTCCCTTCTCCTCCCTCCTCCCCATTTTTTGTTTTACAAATATTAGATTTGTGCGGACAGCAATTCCATTCACTCAAGAACCCCAGAGAGATAAACCAGCCAATGTTCAGCCATATTATCTTTATGGCTCAAAGGTGAGTCAAAAGTCATGTTTGCTATTCATAGATCCCCATACCAGGAGAATATCTGGGACAAGAGCCATTCAGAATTTAAAAATTCAATTTGTAAAGTAAATTTAGAAGTTTAAGCCCTTCCAGGTTTACTTTAAAGTCCTTCAAAGTAAGGAAAAGTAAGATAAAGTTCATCGGTGTCAAGTTTCAACTGTTTTGTTATTTTGGTTTATCACCCCCTATTTTTGCATTAAAATCGCCCACTATGATAATAGTATCTAGTGGGAATTTGTCCACTAGAGCTTCAGTTGTATTTTCAAGTGTAGCACAGTGGTCCTGATTTTGAGATTTAGCACTTCTGGGAGGCACATAAACATTTAATAAGAGTAATCTTATTCGTTATCATAAATCTCACTATAAGAAAAGAGGGATTACAGATTCAGATTTATTTGCACTGCCTCCAGATTCCACTTCCTATTTAACAAGATAGCCAAACCCCCAAAAGGGCAGCCCATAGAATGTAATTTCCTTGCTGGAATGACCCATGATCTGAAACCAGCTAAGTAAATTGTATCAGTCTGGTTTTCTGAGATCCAAGTTTCTGGCAAACATACTATGTCATATAATTTTAGTAATTTTATGGAATCCTCGTCAGTAGTTTAAGCATTCCATCCTGCTATATTCCACACTAGGATGGATAAGCTACTTACAGATCCCTGACTTAGTTGTCATTTATTATGTTCAATCCTCTCACCGTTTAGAAAACCAGAAGGACGTGCCTCATTTATAACTTGTGCATTATTAGTATCAGTTTGACTTAACCTGTGGGCAGGTTTGTTTTTAACAAATTTGCCATGAAGTGGTCGGCTGATTTATTACTACTGAAAGAATTTCTATCTAGATCCCCTTACAGCTGATATGGCTTTTTGAATTCCTATGCTCATGATTTTATAGAACACTTGGCAGGAATAATTAATAGTATGTAATCTGCTTTTTTATCACTTCAGAATAAAGGAGTTTGAATTCTCCACATAATGCCAGTGCAATGTAGTGTAACAAATAATAACTCTGAGCAAAAGGAAACTGGTGCATGTTCTGTAGCTCTCTCTGTCTGTGTCAAAGTATCTCTGGAGTTTTAAGAGGTCAGATGTCCCCCCAACGTATATTTCACTGTTATCAATGAGTCACATTATGCTGAAGCCCAAGATGTTATATACACACACAAGACATTGTACATAGCAGAGCTTTGTTGCTGTTTTTAGGAGCAGCTCCCACTGTTAGAGAGACATGCAACTTTCTAAAGTGAACTAAACTTATCTTTTTGGCATCAGAAAATATTACAGCAGTAATAACAAAGCTCAGATTGCAACCCTAGTACTATAGCTTCTACCCTGTAATCCTAAATTCACTTTCTAGGGCTGTTTAGATTATCTTTAAGTAAAGCTTGTGAATCAATGCACTATTCCTTTATAGCTGTTTGAAATGCCATTTTTTAAAAAAAATGATGCCCCTATTTTATTTCTGAGAGCCAGTTTGGTGTAGTGCTTAAGGCACCAGGCTAGAAACCAGAAGACCATGAGTTCTAGACCTGCCTTAGGCACAAAGCCAGCTGGGGGACCTTAGGCCAGTCATACCCTCTCAGCCCTATGAAGCAGGCAGTGGCAAACCATATCCAGTGGCAAAATCTTGCCAAGAAAACTGCAGAGACCTGTCAGGCAGTTGCCACTAACTCAAAGAGACACCGCCCCCCCGCAAATTATTTGCAGTAAGTAACAGATTATGCTATGAATTCTGGCTCATACTAAATCTCATCCATACAAGATTCCATCTACAGATCTATTGGAAAAAAATGAAAAATGTTTACTACAGCTTTTCCCATCTTGACACCCCCTTGTTTGTTGGAATGCAATTCCCATAATACCTACCAAGTATGACTGAAAGTTACACTGGAAATTAGGGTAGTTCAACATTGCTGCAAGGTGCTAAATTGGGGAAAATTGACATAATGTATAATAAGACTTAGTGCATTTGTTTTCTGTTTCTCAAAGTCTTTATACCTCTCAGTGCCACATCAATGATAATTTTGAAGCTACTCTGCCGCTGTCATAAGGATTTTTCATATATAAAGCAATGACAAGAACTCATCTGCAATAGTAGGAAGCTGCCACGGGGATCAGTGTGCAGATGCCTCCTTAGGGTGGCCACAGTAAATAGCAGTAGTCTTTCCAACGGAAGCCTATGCTCTGTAAAGAAAATTAAATAGCCAACTACCTACTGTCACTACATTTCTGTAATAGGAAAGATAGAAGAAGACCATGGTTGAAATCAACAAAACAATTTAGAATCCGCAAATGAACTACCATGAATTTATAGTAGTGATGGGGGAAGCAGTACATATGTATGCACGGTGCGAAGGGTCCATGGACCTTGTTTCTGAGACTTGAGCATCAACAACTGTGCTTTTACTTACCTTGACACCATGCTTTGTTTTCTTATTTGAAATCTGTCTGGCATATTAGTTGGTCTTGACTCCTGGGGCAGTTGGGCATCATTAAAGGAAGATTAAGTAGTTGTGGGTTTATACTGGCTGCGCTGATTTGGGATAGCCACTGAAGAACAGTTTAATTGCTAAGGTACTCAGTGGCTGGAAACCATCTGGCCATGGTTGGTTTCTGTAGCCAATATATGCAAACCAGGGCATTGACCTAAACAAAAGCCGGAAAGGAAGCTTGTTAAAAAAGAACCCATGTCAACTCATGTGCTTCCTTTGGGCTGCTTCTTTTTTTTTTTTTAATTTTTATCCCACCTTTCTTTTCATATACAATTCAAGGCAGCAAACATACCTAATACTCCTTCCTCCTTCTGTTTTC